TAGGGCACTTGGAACAAACTATAGTTGCCAGGAAAATTCATGATCCTTCGAGAAACTCCAGCGCGCATGCTCCAACGTTGCCTGACTTCCTCTGTCGTAACAATATTATAGTTGTTGACACAGTAACGTGAAAACCTTAAACTTTCAAAATCTTGAGATGTCCATATATTGTCTGCTTAAATTTCGTTATTTGATTTGATTTTTTACAGTTACACTTTAATCTGTCCCCCCTGGTGAGACAGCAGTAAGTCTTCGGATTACAACGCTAAAACCAAAGGTTCGATTCCTCTCGATATGACTTTACTGTAACGTTGAAATCTATAAAATGATATAAATTAAACATAATTTAATCCATTGAAAATTAATTTTTACAGTTGCTGTTGTATGAGGTAACATTTTTAAATCGTTTCATCAGTTTATGCATTTGTTTATTTTCATGATTTGACTCAGATTGACCGCTTCTACAGAAAAATAACAACTATTTTGGAGAAATTTTACATCTCAATCGTTGAAATGCATCCCAAGAAAGGCAAAACGCAGTTTGATGAAGCTAATAAGGCCTATAAAGAAGGAAGTACTGATCGTCTTCCAGGAACATATCGTAGGGAATTGAGGAAACTCCAGAAAAACCTGGTAGGTTGTCGTAGGTTTGTTGAATTTTGTGTAAAACTATTCGCGAATTGGTGTAGTGCTAACGAAAGAAGTGTCGGAACACGAAAACTATTACATAACCGTGTAAGGTGGAAGTCGTACAGGTACGCCATGTCCGTGTGTTCCCACTTCACCTCTGTATTCGAGGGCTATCTGTGCTAATCGTCCCTAATTTTGAAGTGATATACTAGTTGGAATGCAGCTAGTCAACATCACCAACTCTTGGGATACTCTTTATTTATCAATGGAAAGTGGTATCGGGCGTCACACTATAACGCCCCCTCCCCCCAAGGCTGAAAGGGTGAGCATGCTCGGTGACGGGATTCCAATCCGCGACCTGCAGATTGTGAGTCGAGTACGCTAACCACCAAGTCATTTTTGTGCATTAAGTATATGTTTTAATTAAATATTATAAATGTTCTCAAAGATATAAAACATATTGGGATTAATAATATTTTACTTTAAGTTGCAAATTTAATAATCCTCCAACTTCACAGTTTATTTAATGGTCCCACAACTTTACAGTTTATTTTGAACCAATAAGAATACGAATTTAAATGTATATCGCAACGGTTTTGATATTTCATAATCCTAAAGTTAAAATAATCAAATTACAGTTTTATCTTGTAATTCTCAAGAAATTGACCTGTGTATTCCTCATAAAAGTACGACAATAAATAAAACATCTTTATAGATATACGATGATCAAGTTATAATAAATCGTCATTATTATCTTTTTCTATTCTAGGACATCAAAGGTAAGAAAGTTGTAGCATCGAAACAACTCTAAAACAATAAGAAAATTCATATTGTAAGGATTCTCGGTTTATAAAAGGTAATGGGTTTCTTTTGTTGCTGAACCAGAGTACACACTATTGGATATAACTAAAGTTTATTGTAAAAAGTGAGAGAGGTGAACTAGTATAAATACAAAAACGAAAAACAAAAATCCTGTGTTTTAGCGTAAAAAAAAAGGAAAAATATTTTGTCTTGAGCGAACTGCTTACCGTGTTATACTTTTGTTAACACAAATAATCTCTTTTACAAATATATCCTATTGTAAGCTAATTATTCTCTGAATTAGTACTTTTATGTAATAGTGTGTCATAGGGAATTATTTCATGTGTTTCACTAAGTATAGGACAAAGGGAAGATCTCACAGGCCACTATTTTCTTTACGGAACTGACCATCATAGGTAAAATTAGTGACCTTTACATGTCTGTCCTAAAAGAACTATTTAGGAATTAACTCCCCTATATCAAAATCTTGAAATCTGGTTAAGATACGTTGACCATATTTTTAGTGTATTACAGCATAGGAGAGATAGTCTATTTAATTTTTAAAAAATCATAAATAACAGGAGACCGAATGTTATAATTTTAACTTTTGAAATGTTAGTTTAAAAAATTGAAACAATGAAGTAACCACCAATGTATACAGAAAATCTCGTGTCGTCACCATGCCACCACACACAAGATTTAATCACCACTTGTCTTTCAACTTTACCAATTTAAAACGTGCTATACAAGTTTGTACTCACAACGAGGACCTACAAACGGAACTGAATTACTTAAAGATTGTAGCGTCATCTAGGCTTGTTAACTCTAGCTTCATAGATAGAGCTTTTATTAAACTTCTAAATCGTAAAAAAATTGTACGCTAATTTCAGTTGTTCTCTTATCAGAAATAAAAACATAACAAATTTGTTTCATTCTCTTTTATGTCTTAAATTGCCAATGAAATTACTGGTTTTTTTAATAACTTAAACACTGACATAAAAAATGTATTTAAACCTTCATACAAGATAAACACCGTACTATCTAACTCGAAACAACTCTACTGAAGGACTGTTTTGACTGACGCGCTTATAAAGCAAGCAATTTTTGTGTGACAAAAGTACTCATATATCACTTTTCAATAATTTGAATTCGTTTCCCTTTTGCTATACATTAGGAAAAACGTTATTAGACGTTTACAGCTCTACTTACGTGCACTGGGGAAAAAGTTCTTGCTATTCAGCAAATACTGAGAAATTGTACTCCGGTTATGCTGCAACACATCCAGAAGAAGGAATTGGCGGTGGAGCTAATTACTTGTGTTACCCAGAGGATAATCTAGCCTGGGGAGAAGAATGTTCTTCTTCAGATCAGACGTTTCTCGGAACACTTCGACTAGGAACTATCAACAACAATTCACCATTGAACACCAGTAAAACTCTGTTTCAGAGATCTGTGGTATGTGCGTTATGTCACATCACCAACAGGAGCAGCGTGGTCACTTTTCTGCTGGAAAATGAATGTCCAGAAGGTTGGATAACTGAATACAAAGGATATCTGGTCACCAATGAAAATAACGGTCATCGTGGAGAGTATGTTTGTTTAGACACAAATATCGAAATTGATGAACTAAAAAGAGGTATTGAAACCAATGCTAATAGATTTATGCTGGATCAGAAGGCCAACCTCGTGATTTTACCCCCTGAAAGTAACACTGACAGTCACACCAAAAATAGATTTGTTGCTTGTATAGTGTGTACAAAATGATATTTTATGAAGCCTCACAAGCTCATACAGAACTTGTATTATTATTTTGAAATAAAATAATTATGTTCTTCCTCTTTGTAAGGTTTTTAAAATTTTTCAAACGCTTTTGAAGCAAATTCACGATATGAAATAAATGCTCTTCGATGTATTATTATTATTATGTGATAAAAAATTTAAAATATGTTATCTCTGAAACAGGTTTCAAAAGAACTGAATCATTAAAACTTCTCGTTTGTTAAATAGAGCCACCCCCCCCCCAGTGGCTCAGCGATAAATCTGAAGGCTTATAACGCTAAAAACCTGGTTTCGATACCACTGGTGAGAATAGCACAGATAGCCTATTGTGCTGCTTTTTGCTTGACAACAAACAAATAATATCATATAGAACAAAAATTATAACTGGTTAGTATTTTGAAGAATTTTTCTCTTCTTAAAGGAAACAGCACTACTGAGAGTGGGTTAAATTTTTCGACAAAACAAATGGCTTATCTAATAATGCTTGGAGACGGTTTGAATGAATGAAAATGGCTTATCTGATAATCCTGTTATACGCCACTCTACTGTTCCAAAAATTCTACGATTTCTCATTTCATGTTCTTTATTACTTTTTTTTTGTCAACTTTTGTGTTAAAATCTAAAATAAAAGGTTTTATTTTTCAACTTTCTTATTGCATACGATTCTATAAAAAAAAAAGTTTCCGACATAACTACTATAAAGTTAAATTGTGTCTTTTATAGGGTTTAGGTAAATTGGGTTAATAATAAAGAAGTACAAGTAACAAACAAATATGCAAAAATTAAGTATGATGTAGAGATGACAATGCCAAATAGTACAGAAATAATGTAGGGATGAATACACAAAACTACACAAAAATCCCTACATAAGTAGCCAGTGAGTACTGAGTCAATCTTATAAGCTTATGGTTAATAGCCAATGTAAGACTGTGTAGAATTATTCAATTTAAATGCTTTTATTCAAACCTTAAATTCATGCAACTGACAGGAATTCAACATTTAGTTATAGATAAAAGTTATTCATGGAAAGTTTTGGTTACTTATGTAGTGATTTTTGTATGGTTTTGTGTATTCATTCCCACCTTATTTCTGTACTTTTTGGCGTTGTCATCCCTACATCATACTTAACTGTTGGAATTTTTTTATTACTAGTTTCACCATCTGTTGTTTTAGACAATTTCATTGAAGTAGATTGATAAGTGAACATTTGATTTATTTTTATAATTCAATGGTAATATATATTGTTAACATCATATCAGTTTTGTCAGTTTCTTCATTTCACTTGTAGAATGACCTCAGATATTGATATTAATACCATAAAATTGGATATAATAGGCTATTAATCACCACTGTTCATAATCTTGACTTCTTGGTACTTAATGGTGAGGCACCTATAGTAAGGAAAGAACATATAAAAATGTTTCACCCTGTACTTAAGCTTTTTAAAGGAACACGATATTTATATAAAAAAGATAACTTCAAGGGGTAATGATAACATCGTTTACACTAGAATTAGGATTTTTTTAGCGTATACTAAGAACTGCCGTGCTTAACGAAAGCTTATTTTCAAGTGCCCTTAAAATACTTTTCAGTCATACTAAAACCAATGGGAAAACTGCACACATTATTTTGGCTATCGTGAGAAAGAAAAACACGTTGACTCTTTAGCTAGTTCCCAGTTCTCCACTTTAGCAACACTTTTCAATGATATTGGGAGTCTCACAAGTTGTGAAACATTCTATAGTGGCAGCTAAGTGCTCAAATAAGGCTATAACTCAACTTTAGCAATTAGTTGTAAGCATCATAGGGTAATAGATTGAATGCGGCAGCCACTTTTTTTTCTCGGCCCATCCGCACTTGATTTTATGTCATAATTGGCCGAATGTGGCCTAGTGGTTATCATTATAGGCTGTAACTTCGAGTGTCTATGGTTCATGTCCCATTGCCACAAACTCGCTCTCCGCACTTTCGGACCGTTGGTGTGTTGAAGGACTGACAGTTAAATTTTGTTTGTTTGTTGAATTTCGTGCAGAGATAATTGAGGGTATTCAGCGTTAGCAGTCCCTAATTTAGAAGTATTTTTTGTTGTTGTTTTTGTTTTGCTGTACTTGTATTTTAGTGGTTCGAGTCAGTTTAGAGAGGCAGCGAACCAGGGTTGAGAAATGTTTGAATAGAGTGAAGACAGTTAGTCAACACCATCCATCACAAGTTCTTGGACTACTCTTACCAACGACAAGTGGGACTAATAATGGCTGGAGACGGCTTAAATGGGTAATGAA